ATATTTGCTTGAAGAAATAAAAGTGCTCAAGCACCCAGACTAAGTGCAGAGCAGACAGTCAAGAAGGTGCATTAAGGAGCCTGCATGAGAGCCCAAGGTGTCTGTCCTTTCTGCAAACAGGCAGTCAGAACAGCCTGGCAATACCAGTCACAGTACAAATCAAACAGAGCCAGCACAGTCAGGCATGGGACCTGTTGTCCTACAGTCAATCCCCACTAGTTCTGCCTTTCTGCAGCATTATTTTTCTGTAGCAATAATAGTTTAAGGACAGAGGAAGGGTATGGTTTGTAGACAGAGTTAGCACTGTATCTTTAACACTTTAACAAAGAGACAGCATTTCTGCCAACAAATGTCCTGCCTTCTTTGTGCAGTGACAGTAAAACAGAAAAGAAATCTGCAGTACCACTGCAGTTTACAACAGCGTATGTCTTGTAGCACTGAGACTTCTAAAGCCAAAAGGCATCATAATGGCATCATTGTACCTCAGGATTTTTTAATTATTCACCAGTAACAACTGTTCCAGCTGTGTCTGAAAGCCACATTTGATACAAGGGATCGACACGGTAAAGAGTCACATGCTGATTCAATTTTTCTGTTCAAGAATCATAATAAAAATCACATTTAACTTTCAAATGCCATTTACACTAAACAAAGTTTAAACAAACAAACAAACAAAAAAGTTTTCCTGTATCATTTTTCTGTATTCTTCCCAGTGACACTACAAACCAAAAACCACTACAGAAAAGGCTTATTTATTTGTGCTTTTAAAATTTATTTCCTAAACAAGCAATAGACTGCTGGGAAAAAATCTGCTCTGCAAGATATATACAACCTCAAAAAAAAAAAAAAAAAAGGGGGGGACAGAGGGGACAGAGCGGGGACAGAGCGGGGAGAGAGCGGGGAGAGAGAGAGAACAGAGAAAAAAAATGGGGCTGGGTGTTCACTCAAAAAAAAAAAAAAGGGGGGGGGGGGGGGGGAGAAAGGGATAAATAAAGCTTTCTTTCTTTTTAAAACCAGGAAAGATATTTTTAAGCTCCTTCTACTCTAAACCAAAACAAAACCAAGAACTGTGCAGACTTCCATAACTAATGTAGTATGAAAACCAACAAGTATTGAATATTTTTAAAGGACAGTGTTCCTTTGAAAAGCTGTAACTAATTAATTTGACAGTCCAGCTGAGATAGGTTTACACCCCCATCTACTAAGACCTGTGCTAAATGAAACAGGATGGGTTTTTTGCAGCTGTAGACATGTGCTTGGAACACTCAAATAATGACAAATATAAATAAATATTTTCCTTTATCTTTACAGTAAAAAATGTTATATATGCTCAATAATGTATTCAGCTTGTTACTTAATTCACTCCATCTAATTTGCATGTACTTGTAATACTTTTTAATGCTTCAGTCTAGCAATTAGCATACTGATTCTTATTAAATATATCAAAGATGTCTTTTTAGTTAGCACAGTCAAAAGCAAATGTACACCTGCAAAACATTTTTTAAGCACTAGCAATTTAAGAAACATTAAGTGCCATAAAAATTGGTGTATCTTAATATACTACACACAACAGAAACCATTAGAAGAAACACAATGGCACCATCCAACCTTACAGATTTTCACTGGAAGGAAAATCCCTATAAGGCTAATTGAAGCCTCCTAAATTAAGATGGTTTTTTTTTTTTTTTCTAATTATCTGTCATAGAGCCCCCTGAAAATCTCTCCCAAGAAAACTCAAGATGGATCAAATGCTGAAAGCTCGTATCTCTGTAGAACCATAAAAAAGTACTCAGTCTGGCACGCTTCAGAGCCTACTGGTCATATATTTTGTATCACAAAATGCAATATTTTCACCCCTTGCCACAGAATAAATGGGAATATGCTTATTTTAATTTTGTGATTCTCCTTAGTAACTACAAAAATAAGAAGTTGTTGCAAACTCTAACAACCAAACAAAACAACTATAGAAACATACGTGTGGCTCACATCACAACACTTAATTCTCAATTATTGTTCAACATGATGAGTTATTCGGATCCAGAACTATAATATGCATGTCAGTAATTCAGTCCTGAGGATTCCTCATTCTTGTTTGTTCTGATAGGCTACCAGCATTTTATTAGAGCCAAGAAAATAAACCAAAAAGTTTTCAGTTAATCTCTAAAGAAGTAATAAAAATATTGCAAAAATACATCACAAGCATTCACCTTCTTGACTCACTTAAAAAGTCTCACATTCTTGCCAGAAGTACAGCACTGCCACATTACCTCTTCTTCTAGAGTTTCACTTTAAAACTGTAATACTGTAATTTAAATACAATGTAGTGTTCTGCCCACAGCATATTGTTAATTACACCCCAAATGGCAAACATTTAGTTTCTATATTATCACACTTCCATTCTGTTCATTTCAGCATTTTATACTTAATAATTGAATGCATACCAATGTTGAAGTAGCATTGTATGACTGAAAAGCAATAAACTTCACTTGGCACCCTAGCTTTATCCCAGAGAAAAATATAGGCATAAATCATCATTTATAAATAAACTATAAATAGGTATAAATCACCATTTCTGGGAACAAGACAACACAATATGCTTCTAGAACTGGTCAGTGAATCAAATAGGCTCTTATGAGTGTCAAGTTAATCACAATCTAAGGGCCCACTCTGTGCAACAAACATGGCTTTAATCAGACACACATACCAGGATGTGTTTGCAAAATCAGCATTTTCCATTATGAATGGTGGCACACAATAAAGACAGCATTGTTGTTGGGTTTTTTTAACATGAGAATAAGAAAAAAAACATTTACTTCTTATGCAAATAGTAGCAATAACCACTGCTGTTCATTATTTTTTTTCAAGAATCTTTCAGCAGACAGACTTAGAAGAAAAGGAGATTTTTTCTAAAGAAAATTATCTCACTGTCCATTCAACTATATATCTTAACATTCCTACCCAAATCAGTGGGATTCTTCTATGAAAGGATTAAATTCAGTAAGCTTGGTGAAGAGTGCTTGTACGAATTAACTTTTACTTACAAGATGATCAAAAAAACATGACAGTAGGAAAATCTGATAGCAGCCAGACTCATCACAGAAAGCTACTTCCACTAAAGCCACTTCTCTCTTCCTTCAGTTGCATCCCACCATATCAGTTTTGTTTTAGAGACATAAATGGGCAGTCTCTACTCTGGTCATTGACACAATTCCTGCTGTCAGGAGGATTACTTACAGGAACACAACCTTTTATTAATCACAAGTTTGACCCAAACAACAACAAAAAGATCCATAGAAAATTTTCATTACATTTGAGTCCCTCTCCCATGCCAATCACTGTTAGATGAAAGGATGTGCAAACAGCACAGCTAAATCCCCACAGCAATGATACAATGACCCAGAAAGCGACTCTAATGGCCAACGGAGCAAATAAAGCAAAACTAGCCAAACCCAAAGGGCAGCATGTACATAAGCATCTTCTCCATTTAAATGGGCACATATTGAAACCTAGTCTCGTATTTCCAATTTATGCAATAAAACTTCACAGAAACAGAAACTTTTTATATTGTTCCCAAAACATATATTACACAAAAGAAGAGAAACAAGTGCCCGGGTTCACTGAAAATTTAGATAACAAAATATGAAGAAATGAAAAGTGATTATTGTGTCACACACACATAAAAAATAAAATGCAATTCGTAATTGAAAATTAAACAGACAACTAGCTGTCATTCAAACCAAAATGCTGGATTCAAATACCATTCTTCCCTTTGGGAAAATGTGGCTGTAACTTTTTTGAATGAACCTGATACAAATATATACATGAATCTGTCTTTCATCAATACATACAGAAGTCTGTATGATTTACCATACACCCACACACTTCCATACACACAAAGAATGTGAAAGCAATTATTTCACACTAAGTATTTGTTAGCTGCTCCCTTTTTTTGTTCAAAAGAGGACTGTTCCTAATGTTACACAAGAACCAAAACTACCCCCTTCTGAAAACTGTGATGCAGCTTGAGTTGAAAGGGCAACATACATTCCCAGAGTGCACCCGATAAATAGCAAAAGAGACAAGAAAAAAAATACTGTAACATTGGTGTATCTTGGTTTTCATTTCAGTACTTAAACTGTTATTCCACTCACCAAACTAACACAAATCTTTGATTTGAACAGATTCTTGTCAAAGAACACATCCAAACACATCCTAAATAAAAAGCAGAAACAAACTAGGCCCTCCCTGTTGTCTAAGACACTTGGTAAGCTACTGGGCATCACCGGCACTTTCCATGAAGCATTTTACAGAGAAAGAGATGGGAAGATGATAAAGCACAGCCAAAATATCAATTTATACCAACAGATTTCTGCCTTTCAGAAAATACGAATGGAAAAGTTTTTGTATCATTGTACTCAGGACAATGCTTCGTACACTGAAGTTATGGCATTTTACTGCAAGGCACCTCCGCATTTCTGAGAGGTCACACTTGGCCCTTTTTCTAACAAAATGAGAAGTTTTCCAGATACAACAGCTATCTCCTGTCACAAGCTGTTCCAGTTTGCAGCTTCTGAAAATCTGGCAGACTTCAACCAAGCTTTTCTCCCATTGCCCTGCTTCTCCATTAGTCTTCCAGGCCAGACTTTACTAATGTGTGAAAGCAGTTAACTATCGCAGCTTTCAACTTCCATAAACATGCATTTATTGCATTTGCTTGGAAACTGGCAGATGCTGAGGAATGAAGGAGAAAGTAGGCCAGACCAAAACAAGCCACATTTCCAGAGAACCTCCCACCATCAGTCGTGCATGTTTGAATTTACCAGAAAAAAATCCCAACTGACCCAAATCCAATTTGGATTAGTCTTCAACCTCCTTCATACCACTCTGTCAAATTCCAAGCAGAAACACTTTAAAAAAAAAAAAAAAAAAAAAAAAAAGAAGAAAGAAAGAAAGAAAGGTAGCTACAATTTTCTTTAAAGTGTAACACACGTATTGCTTACCTCACTGTTGTGGCCCCTCAAATTGAAGTTGATTCTCTGAGGGGTGTTCCGATCCCTCCTACAATGGCTGGAAGTGAAAGTGACGCCTACAACTCCTCTGCCATTGCCCGTTGCCAACCAGCCTTCCTCATAGTACCGCCTCCTGCACACTGGTTTCTCCTTCTCACTTTTGGGGACTCTGCCTTTCCAGGAGAGGCAGAGGATGTTGGAATCGCTGCAAAGAACAGGCCCATGTTCCACTGCTGCATACATGCTTTTTAAATATTTTATTTTTTGACATAAGAAAGTAATATGTCTAGTGCACAAAATTTAAATCAATTTTTTTTTTTTTTTATTGATAAGACTGACCTGGATAGATCATTGAAAGGGAGGAGGATGGGGTCAGTGTTTATAAATATCCACCAAATGCATAGTGAAAAATTCCTCTATAAAAGATGATGGCAGTTGGCTAAGAAAAAGTAACACTTAAAAAAAAATTCAGGTTCATTTTTGTTTTGAGTCTGTAGAGTGGGGGTGCACTTATCCTTTGGAGAAACAGCTACTTCATAAGAGGCGCTCAAGAAATGGTTAAGTCATCTTTTTGCTCAACTTGATATAATCTTTATTCAGCCTGAGATTCCAGTTTAGCGTAATGCAATTCCAGAGACAAAGAGTTGCAAATGTGTAGGTTTCAAGTAACTTAAGGCTTTTAAAATTTCCTCCAGTCAGATTTTCTTCAAAAGTTCAGTTGCAGAAATTTAAACACACGCACATACATATATATGTATATATATGACATTCCTCTTTTCCAAGCTGCCCTCTGGCATATCTTTTCCATCTGATGTATTTCTGCTGCTAAAGCTGAAAGAGATTGCATAAAGGGAAAAAAAGGCACACGAACCGTGTGAAACAACAGACCCGAACTTGTGCAGGCACTGGTGTGCCAGGCCAGTTGGGAAATCCCTCTTGGTACTGAACCGCTCGTTGGACTCAAAAGTTTTTGCAATCCAAAGCCAATCCAATTTTCATCGCAGCACTTTTTTTCCACCAGAGACCCAACACAGCCTGAACTGTTTATCACGCTATCTTGCCTGCTTTCCCACTTTTTGCTGCCACACACGAATGAAAAAGAACCCCCTCTTCATTTATAGCAGAATCAAAAATGCTCAAAAGCTTTTAACTTTCAAAGTTAACTAAGTTTGCCTCGGGTGAACCATGAAGTTCTCTCTCCTGTGAAACAGGCTAAAATGTCAAGCTGTTTTTCCTTTACTTTTCCCTTTTTTTCTGCTACAAGGAATCACAGACTTTTCATTCTACCATAAAAAACAATGCCAGAATTAAAGCACATCAAGTAAGCACTCTCTCAAAATCTTCTAAAATTCAAGGGAGGAAGAAATATAATCATCTAAAAAAGAAAGAGAAGCAGCATTAAAAATCTGACTTCCTGGGTTCACAATTTCTCTAGGTATTTTCCTTGCTTGTTTGATACGATCTTTCCTTCTTGATGCTTGTCTACAGCACAGATTCATAGTTCCAGACACAACATTTGCAGCTGTACAAGAAGGAAACATATGAAGTATTCCAATCGTTTTATTTGAATAATATTTATGAGCTCAATTAGCTAGTATTTATATCACACTAAGTGAAAAGAGGAAAAAGGAGAAGGAGAAAGGATATGCAAGTTTGATGACCTGGTTAACTCAAGGACAGCGAGGTTTGCTCAGTTCAATGCCCAGACTTGTCCCATAGTTCCTCAACTTATTTACTTCCAGTCATCATTGCTCAGCAGAAGGTCACGTTTTATTGTCCATTCACAACCTACTGAGCCCAATGCAAAACGTGCCAAAGATCATACATTATTCCTCTGCCCTCTTGATTCGTCTGTTTCCCTCACAGATAGCGATTTAGATTGTGGAGGTATTTACTAGGCTTTTTTCTGCACAGAGGGTGTTTTTTCTTTCTCTTCTTGCAGATTTTTTTCACCCATGAAGACCATGTGGAAAGTTGAACATTACTGGCAGGTGTCTTTCCATGGATTATTGATTCCTGTGCTGCGAAGGTGCTCCATCTGGTTCTCAAATTAATTTTCATCAATTGCAAAGCTCTCAGGAATATGCCAGAGCAAGTCTACGTGACGACAAAAACATGTGCGTTTTCATGTACATGCAGTGCACACACCCATCTGGTACTCAGAGCTGCATCTGCCTTTTCAGTTTAGGTGTGGTAATCTTGTAAGACGGCCGCTACTCAAAACTTGAAACCCCTGGATTCTTCCAACTCTGCAAGGCAAAGCACACACACACACACACAAAAAAAAAAAAGTGAATAAAATAAGTCACAAAACGAGTTAAAGATATTGGTACTACTGTTACAGTAATCAAAGTATTATGATTAAGGATTTTATACCCAACTCCTACAGAGTGTATTATATATAGATAAAAACATTATTCAGAATATACATATTTGATATATTTGTATTTGATATACACACAAAGACAAACTACAAAATTTTCTTTCTTGCTTCCAAAATTCCCAAAACTTTTCACAATGGACATGTAGTATAGCTAATTAAATATATCTCGGAAGGATACTTTGGCAGGGAGGAGAGGAGTGGGGAGAGCTTTGTCCTGGTCACAGTCTCTGGGGCAAAATCTTGAAAATTTCACAACTTAGAAGTGAAGATGGGGAAGGGAGATGTTAGTGATAGAGTAGGCACAAGGTTAGACCCTGAGGCACACAAACAGGATCACAGAATGGCTGATCTGGAAGGGACATCTGAACATCATCCGGTCCAAACACTGTGCTCAAGCAGCGTCACCTGGAGTCAGTTGCCCAGGACTTACAGGCGACTTCTGAATATCTCCAAGGATGAAAACCCCATGAACTCTCTGGGCAACTCGTGCCAGCGCTCAGTCATCCTCACAGAAAAGTGTTTCCTGATGTTTAGAGGGAACCATCTGTGTTTCAGTTTGTGCTCATTGCCTCTGGTTCTGTCACTGGATACCACCATTAAGAGTCTGTCTCTCTCATTTAATTCCCTCCCATCAACTGTACACAAGAAGATCTCCTTAAGCTTTTTCTTCTCCAGGCTGAAGTCTCAGCTCTCAGACTTTCCTCATAGAAAAGATGCTCCAAACCATGAAAATACAGTACTGAACTTACCAGTCTCAAAGGGACTGGGAAGATTCCTCCAGGGCTTAAACTACTGCTTTGAAGACATCTAAGGTACTTCAAAATTAAAGCTTAAAAGTCTGAATCAATACAGATGGATTTAAAAACTATTCAAATCCTACTTAAATCTCCATTTGAAAAAGGGGAGAAAAATTCCCCCAAGTCAGTTTTATACAAAAGAGTGTATACAAATAAAGCACAAGACACCAAGCAAAAGGCCATTCAGGATATTCCAGTAGTTGTATCTGAAGTGCACACATATGCACAGTTATTCTATCTACACAGTTACTGCTAAGAAGAGCTCATTTAAATTCAGAGCTGCATACATAACAGTCATCAGAGCTGTAAAAATGGTCTTGCCTTTATTACATAAAGCACTACACTAACCTCATGTCTCCTGTAATTAACCACTTATTTCATCCTAGCATAGACATATTAATTAATTTTGTTTTTAAAAAAGAGACAAGATAAGAAAACAAATTTATAGACACAAAGGCAAAGTTGTTAAGTAGTTTACAACACTACACAGCTGGCTGACTTATCAGAAACACTGTCCCCAAGATTTGGTGAGTCACTGCCAGACCTCTTCAGCACTATACCTCACTGAAGTTTTAAAAATAATGGCTGCCATTAATTTCTTTTTCATCATGGCAAGATGATAATATGAGAAATGTCACCTTTCCAAATTTCGGTGTTTATCAAGTACAGCCCAGAGAAAGTTCATATATAGGAAAACACAGAAAAACTTTCAGAGTATAATGGTTTATAGACAAACTTCTGCGTTTATCCTATGAGCAAACTTGATCCTCTGAAGGATCAGTGCCATTGTTTCCATACCCACTGGAATTCTCCTAACAGACATCTACATTCAAGAGCTGACATTTTATATTAGCAGCATGAGTATTATAATGCAAGCCTTTACTTATCCTACAGAGAAATAAAAAAAAAAGTTTACAGAGAAAACAAAGTCTCTGAAATATCAGTTAGAATAGAGTGAGGTAAGCACTAAACAGAATCGTTTGAACTGTACAAGAATCATGAGTTTACATGTGGATTTTAAAATACAGGTAAGTATAGATACAGTGCCTTTGCATAAAATCTGTATGCAACTTCTGTCCTTATCCACTGCATAAAAGATTAACAAGGTTGAGAAAAGGACTCATCTGCATCGTGGTCAATAACCTTAGTCCCATTTACCATCACTTTCAAGATTAGGGAGTCCAAAGGCTTCTCCTCTTAAAAATATCCTAACTGCATTAGAAATGCTGGACGTGGAGAGATGAAAATCTAAAATAACTACAAAAGTAATAAAATCAGCCATTATTCAAATGCATTATTCAACTACTTTCTCAGTAAAATACAACCTATGAGAATATTTTACCTTTAAATTATTGAGGGTTGCCACTACCTTTATGTTACATTCAGAGACAAGAAAAAAATACTTTTAAGACTGTAATATCAAACACTCAATATACAGGCTGAATTAAGATTACATATATTATATATTAAATCTTCCCATTCCCTTCTTCTTCATTTGCATGCATTCTGTATTTCCAAAGTAATTGCCTAACTAAAAGATCTTCCCTCTAGAAAATCAGTAATTTAGACACTCCCCTTCTGCCACCATTACAGCAGCCTCACAGTTCTGCTCATTTTCATATTTTGAAACCAAGCTTTTTGTCTTGTTTTTCCCCACCGTGGAACACCAGGGTAATGGCTTCCACCTCTGTTATGAAGCGTGTAATAGCAGAGGATTAAAAGCATGCTAGATGAGCTGGATGTTACCTGCACAATCCTACCATAGCCCAAAGTCAGTTTGGGCTCACCCTACAAAGAGAACTTGGCCTTCCAGATAAAATTCATTCAAACTAATTTTTAACTGAAGATTTTTTATAATCAAACTTTATGCACCTTTCCTTCCACAGCAGTGCAAGGACTAATCACAGAAGTGCACCACAATCTGATTTTGCTGGTAAATTATTTCTGACACTACTAGGACAATAAATATCAACAAATTGCCTACATTCATTCTCACTTTAAAAAGGTAGTTGAAAATATATTTTCTCTAGATTTTCCTTTTAACTAAGGGAGATGCTACTTGAACTCATCCTCTAATACCGTTGAGTCTAAGCCTAGTGATATAAAACATTTAAGTACCAACACCTAATGAGAAAAAAACATGGGAAACCAGGATCCACAACTATTTTATTTCATTTTGTTTTGAAAGCATAGTTCTTCCCAAATGCAAAACCCAGCAGCAAGTTATGTTTCTGCATGACAGAAAATTCAGGTACTAATTTAAAAAAATGAGCTTATAAACAGTTGCTTTTTTATAGTAATGTCAATATTAAACTCATCATTTTTATCTTCTGTTTCTATTAATTTATATAAAGTGCATTAAGCCACAGCTGGACAACCAGAAAAAATATTTGTTTGTTCTCATGCGTCTTTCATTGAGGTGTCTCTTTTGTTGACAGAAAGAAGCCAAGCACAGCCAAATGTGCCAGTACTGCAGCAAGCTCTTCAGTATTTCATGTTTATTCAAACCTCTGCTTTTCAAGGCTCCAGAACAGAGAATGTGAAGGTGAGGATAAAAGGGGACTGGGAAGGAAAGGAAAGCAAAGAAGGAAAAGTGAAGTGAGTACACACTACTTCTGAATTATTATCTTCAAGAAACCAAAACAAATAAGGACTCACAGCCTGCTTTTAAAAGATTCTGAATGCCCCAACATCTTAAAAAGAATAGAAGATAAAGAGTTTTTGAAAAGGCTTCAGGATTTTTTAGCCTAACCAGATTTCCTACCTGCCAAACCTGCATAAGGTCAAAGGAAACTGTACAGTCTAGGAAGGAAAAAATGTACACCAGTGTACACGAAAATATTTTAAAGGCATTTTAAAAGTGCCAGCCACAACTGGTTTGGCACAAGTTGATGGCAGATGAACCCACCAGCTATCAAATAGGGACTGCGGGACCAACCTCCAAGGTCACTGCTGAACACTACAGTACAAAATTGGCACATCATGTAATAGAGTTACTGTAATACAGGCTAAATACTACAGAGATAGAAGATGGTAAAATTATACAACTTGTTGTTTATTTAGTCCAATCTATAAATTAACAAAAAATCATTAAACAATCCTATCAAAAAAAGGAAAAAAAAATATTTAACAGGGCTAACTACTTTCCAAAAAAAGCCTGAAGAAACAATTAACTGCCTTGGAAGCTGATCTCACTGAAAACATAGTCTCCAAAAACAGCAACTGATTTCAAGAGAGCTTCCCTTCCTGAACTCACCATTGCCAAAGGGGTTAGGAATTGTGGCAATAAATTTCAATCAGTTTGAGCAGTGCCCAGAAGTTTTTGCTCTGACAGTCCTAGTGTTGTCCCACATTCAGCTGCATTGGCAAACTGGAAAGGTACAAAACAAGTGAGAAACAGAAGGGAGGAGTACCTGCAATTACCACTTGAAGACTATTGATAACAAAGTTTGGGCACAGAATATTTCTGAACTCAGGGATTTGTCCTTAAAAGAAATGGAAACAAAGTTTTTCCTCTTGAGGATGAATTTAAGATAGCTTGGATGTCCTGGAGCCAAAGCTACCCATCAGTCATGAAAATATGCCTAATTTTCAAATTAACAGGGCTGAAATACTCCAGACAGGTGTTGAAAAACCTGTTTCAGGAAATAAAAATGCACAAATAACAAATACTAGCCTTTTAAAGAGTTGGGAGATTCACACCACTGAAAAACACATCTTAATGCTTTAGAGATTCAAAGAAATGTGAAGTGAGAGCAAGAAATTCCTGACACAAAAAAGTGTCAATCTTCTTTCTCAAGAAAAGGCTGCAATCTGCACAGCACAGGGAAGCCCTTGACAATCCCTTCACCAGGCACTTCCTCAAAACATGGCAACAACTCTGTCTCACTAATAACATTCAAAGACCTTCATGGGAGGGTGCCCCAGCTCTCACCACCTCTTTTCCATTGAACTGACTGCACTGACCTTGCCTGTAATTACAGAGAAATTTCTTTCCCGTAGGAACATTCTGCAGCCTGCAAACATCCCTCGAGTCTGCAGCAGTTCCAGCTAGCTCCTAATTATCTCC